TGGCTTCAATCATGAAATTCAATTGACTCGACCGAAACTTCCTTAACTTGGAGGAGATAAACAACCCTCAAATCTTTATTTTCAAGACCTTCAATGATATTTGGAACATTAACTTGGTCATGGACAGCAAGCACCAACCCTTGAAGTGTATCACAAAGCTGCTTGGCTCATGCTCATGTAACCGGTCCCAAAGGCACTCAAACCCTCTCGACTTGCATAGCTGGCTGCTCATCTTGGTCTCCATCAAAAGGGCTTTCCCCAAGTTTTTTTTGAGGAATGAGATTCCAAGAAAAAGTTGGAATGGATATTTTAGGGGGAAAGGGCTTTCCACTTAAATGAAGCATATCAAATGCTAGAATGGAATGCAATGGACAAGTTCAAAAGTCTTTTCCTTTTCAGACCATTTCTATGTATCAAATGAGAGTAGAGTAGGAGTAAGTGCAAAATAGGAATTATCGTGCTGACACCAAAAAAAAAAAAAAGAATGGTTGCATATATTACATATATAATAAAACTACACAAAAAAATACCTACAAAAAAATGTATAATATGTGCTCAAACTTTAAATCAAATTTGATGATTTCATAACTAAATTCATCAAACTTATTTGACAAAATGTAGAAAGTAAGATTGTTACGGAAATTTTTTTTAAAAAAATCATGAGACCATTTATAATTGTCCAAATTATTCAAATATCATATTGAAATACTATAAAAGTTATGATTATCAAACACAAGTCACTATCGATGAAAGGGGAACTCACTACCAAGAACAACTATCGATCTTTTTTAAAAAAAAAAATACAAATCAAGACAAGTTAATAAAATTTTGAAAATAGTGAAAAACAAGAAAAAAAAAATGCATTAAACAACCAAAAAATTGAAAATATCCAATTTTCCCGATTTTGACCGGTCAAACCCTCTGTTAATATTGCGTTTGACAAAGTCAACTGCTCTGCAATCTAATTTATGGACACGGATCGAACCAAATGCACTAGAGACGGGTACGGGTCTGGTACCCACCTCGCACATCATTTGACTGATTCGACCCATACCTTGTGGGTAAGTTATTTTCTGACCCTTTTCAACCTCGCATATCAGTGAATACCTGGTTATCGGGTACCCACTAAGATATGATCGAGTCAACGGATACCCGTTCCGCCCCACTTATCATTTAATTTTAAAAAAATAATTTATGCTAATTTAATTTTATATTTTACATATTCATACAAGATTTAATAAAGATTTTTTTCTCAAAAAAAGTCTCTCAACAAGAAACAAACATGCGACGGCAATACAAGGAAAAAAATTAAAAGAGTTCAAAATCAATTAAAATTTGAAATAAATAACACATTTTTTTAATTATATATTCCACATTAATTAAACTCTTTTCTAAAAATATAAGATCATGACTTCTACAAATGAATCTTGTAAACAAACTATAGTCTTCCTTATTTGTAATGCAATTTGTTCAATGAAATTGCTTATTTAACTCTAAAAATATTATTTTATAGTATGTGTATAAAAATAAAAAATAAAAAATAAATATGCAAGGTAGGTCAAGCACCCATGAATTTTTAATTATGTGACCCTAACCCGCCCTACATCTAAATGGGTATCCAACCTTCGTTTGACCCAATAAAATAATACAAATCAAGTATCCTTATTTTTGCATCGGATCGAATTGGATCGGATATGATGGTTTTTGAGTTACGGGTACTTTTTCCCACCCCTAGCATGGACCTTCCCATTCTAGATATGTAACGGGGAAATGGTGTAATTTAAAAAATGGGGAGAGAAAGGGATTTGAACTCGGACTTCCAATTCTTGAGGACTTAACCTCAACTATAGAAAAAAATTTACTTTGAGTTAGGGACACATTTCGGCCCTAAACTTTTAGACGCACCACATTTGTTACATGAATTAATTATTTTGGACCACATTTAGTCCAAAAAGGGTAAAATATTCAATTTGGATGGAGAAAAATTGACGTAGCTGTTGATTTTGACTGAGAAATTGTTCTTACTTGACGGCCACGTGCCAAACACGTGACTTTCTCCATCCAAATTAAGCAATTTACCATTTTTGAACTAAATATGGCAAAAAATAATTAATTTATGTACTAAATATGGTGCATTTAAAAATTTGGGGACGAAATGTGTCCCTAACTCAAAGTTTAAGAACGAAAAGTGAATTTTTTCCCTCAATTACCAAATCAAAAAAAAAAAAAAAAAAAAAAGGAGGAAAGAGAGCACGAGCATGAGGCAAATAGCTGAAAGGTTATTGTGGGCCTCATCCAATCCGAGGCAATCTTGTCATATCCAATAAATTCACAATGATTTGCCACCTGTAGCTGCCAAATCAGATAAAAGGATCTTAAAAACGAGCCAACACCAATATTGCAGACTCTCTTTTCCATAGCTACTTTCTATTCCTTTCCACGATGCCAACAACGTCTGCAACAGCATTCCATCCCTCAATGTGCATCTCAACACCTTCATCTTTACCCTCCAATTCAGAAGATCATCCGGTCCATGTCTTAACAGCCAAACCCAAAAGTGTCCTCCATAAACACCCTCTCTGGCAACCAACTCATGCAAACATTTCTTTCCAATTCAAGGAAAAGATCCTTTGCCTGGAAATAATGGGTGTTGATTCGGGTAAAGCACTCTCTCAAAACCCTTGTCTTCATACAACTTCTTTAGACTCCATTCATTCCATAATTACCTTTTTGGAATCCAAAGGGATCCACCAAAAGGACTTGGGCAGAATCTTTGGAATGTGTCCCAAGATTTTAACATCTGACATCAAAACTGAACTGAATCCTGTTTTTAACTTTCTTTCATATGACCTAAGAGTACCTGATCAACATTATAGGAAGGTCATCAACAAGTGTCCCAGATTATTGATTTCAAGTGTGAGAGACCAGCTCAAACCAGCTCTGTTTTACCTTCAGAGACTTGGGTTCAGGGACTTGCATGCCCTGGCTTATCAGGACCCGGTGTTGTTAGTCTCTAGTGTGGAGAAAACCCTGATTCCTAAGCTGGATTTCTTGGTCAGTATAGGATTTTCAAGGGCTGATGCTGTGGGAATGGTGTTAAGATGTCCAGGTTTGTTCACTTTTAGCATTGAGAATAATTTCAAGCCTAAGTTTGAGTACTTTGCTAAAGAGATGGAGGGGAGTTTGGAGGAGTTGAAGGAGTTTCCTCAGTACTTCGCTTTTAGTTTGGAGAAGAGGATAAAGCCTAGGAACATAGCGGCTTTGGAGAAGAGAGTGAAGGTTCCTCTGCCATTGATGCTCAAGACTACAGATGAGGAATTCGAGGAGTTGACAAGGCAAGGTTGTGGATAAGAAATTCAGCGAAGGAGATAGATTGGTTATTTTTCTGTGATTTTTCTTTCAATTTCTATTTTTTAATTATTGTTATTACTTTTCTTTTTCTCTTTTGTATTTCTAAAGCCTGAAAAGTACAGCAAGCAGCGATGACTCGTGTGACCATTCACTGATATTTTTACACTTTAAGGTTACTGAGATTAAAGCGGATGGTAAGGTCTCCAGGGGAAAAACAAATCGAAGCTATAAACTTGGACATGACTGCTATAAGAAATTAATTTTAATTTCACACAAATATTTTAACTCGTACATTAGCACATTTTTTTATTAGTATTTGTTGTGAATTTACAGGAGAAAAAAGTGAAACAATATTCTTACATATTCAAGAATATTTTTATTTTAGAAAATGAATGTATCTAAGTGTTCAGATACTACATTAATCTTTGAAAACTTTTGTGCATACAGTTATTTTAGTTTAATATTATTCATAAAATAAGTAAGGTACACGTGAAGATTAATAGATTTTCTTTGAATGAATAACTTTCTAATTTCCGTTTGACTAATAGTCTCCACCAAAGTTTCTGACCAAGATGTCCTCAACTTGCATTACATTCCCCAAATTCTAAGTTAAACGTTATACAACTTAATACCTTTGATTATGATATTTGCAATTGATTTGTCTATTAGATCGTATTTGCAATTCAATGGCAAGTGTCCCAATGTTTTAGCGGGACCTTTCTTTAACTAGTTGTATTTTGATCAGGTACTTGATAAAACCTGCAAAAATCCAAGCAAAACCAGAGCAAAATAGATTTCCTGCAAATTGGCTCCGTTTGGATTGGTCTATTTTTCAAAGTTTTTTAAATATAATTCTATAGTAATACACAAATAGAAACAACCTAAAAAATATCTTGTCCATACAATATATCAAAAACAATTCACAAATATAAATAAAAAAATAAAATTTACAACATTTTTCATCTGTCACTACCACCTACCATCACTCACTCACCACCACCACCCCTACCCACCACTGCCACCACCCCCTCCCTCATCCTCCTTCCCCCCCCCCCCCCGAACCCTCCCTCCCTACCTCGATCTATTCAAGACCAGATTGCAACCTCCAGTCAACCAAAGGCCACGATCTAGTAACAGAAAGATCACTACCAAAAGGTCGCAACTTTCTGGCCTCGATCTGCGACTTTCTGGCCTCGATCTGGTACCAGATCGAGGGGAGGAGGGGAGGGCCGAGGGGATGGAGGGGAAGGGGAGAAGGGAGAAGGAAGAGGGAAGGGGAGAAGGCAGAAGGAAGAGGGAGGGGGATGAGAAGGAAGGAGGGAGGGAGTGGTGACAGAAGTGGGTGGGGATGTGGCAGTGGCCGTAGTACTAATTTTAAAAAGGATCCTAAAAATATTTTAATTTTAAAAGGTACCTCAAAATATATTCCAAAAACCCCTTCAAAAATATCACAAAAAATATCTATAATAAAAATTTTTCACATACACTGTTACAGTAAAATATTTCAAAAACACCCTCAAAAATAACTAATCCAAACTGAGTAACAGGCCAGCAGAAACTTTGGCATCACACGATCAGCTTCAACTTCAAGCACCATACATCTTGATTCCTTTCAGGCTATTACATCTTTGGCTCCTATTTAAAAAATCTTCACCAAATAAATTCGAGAAACCTAGATTTTGCGTTGATACAAAAACAGCAAATCCATATGAAAGTGTGCTGGTGTTTAAGCTGGTAGCAGCCTGCAGTCCATTATTATTCTATTGGCTACACAGGTCTATATTAGACGCAGTCATAAATGAACAAGAAGCATAGAACTCATATGAACAAACATAATAGCCTATATTCTTTTACAATAACTATGGTTCCCCATTGTTCTCACATATCATTATTGTACATCTTCATCTCTATTGACTGAAACTTGATTCACCAGCGTGGTTATGATCTAGTGCCAGATAAGACATTACAGATGAATTCTTTGGTAGAGCATTATGTCCCCCAGCAAGTTTATCGTAGTTATATTTGTTGCAAGTAAATCTCTAATGACAAAACGAGGATGATGTAACATGTCAAACCAGAGTAACAACACTTGATTATGTTCTCTATTGGAGTGTGTAATATAAATCTGGTCAAAATCAGGTTAACGCCTTTCCTTTTGGCTCCATTTTGAGAATTAGTAAGATTATACGCGGAGGACATCTTTCAGAAAATTTCAACTTCTAATCAGTACAGGGTCAATAGCATGTATATTGTGGCTATACATCACCGGATGTTGCTAGCTGTCATGGAGTGCAGAAGTCTTTCCAGTTCAGCTTAAAGAAAGGTGAAGGCGTGGTCTACGGCAAAAGGATGGCGCGATTGATCAAACCGAAGAAAGGGAAGGCGTGATTCAGGAAACACGTTTTTCTTGGCTCCAAACAGAATTATGCTTCTGTTATGAACAAGTGGGACGGATCATTCTAGAATCCACCTGGCCTCAGCTCATTGGTTAGTTTAGAAGTTAGTTAGCCGGGAAAACCATAAAAGCAGAAGAAATCTTAGTGATAGGTAGCATTTTGTCATTTGTCCAATTACTTGTAAAGAAAGATTGGCTCTGCCAATCTCCCTCCCTCCCTCTCACGTTTTATTCCTTCACTCTTTTTCCCCTTCTATCTCTGAATCCATTGTTTCCAGTCTGTATTCATTCATATTAAGAAATTGAATTACCAAATCATTTTCAATACCAATTCTACTCCATTTCTATTGAGCAATAGTTTACTGCTTTCTGCAACAAATCTGTCACCATTGCCTCCAACTGGTTCTGTACCATTACAGTGGTATCAGAGCTCAGCTACGAGCCATTGGGATGGCTAAGTCACAAGATGAAGCATTGAAGAAGGATCTGTCTGAGCTAGGAAGTGTGGTCAAGGTACTAGAACACAGGCAAGAAGGTACGGAAAGGACCCTCAAAAATCTGGACCAAAAGTATGAGAGCATGATGTCTATGATGGCTCAGATGATGGCCAAGTTGAATGGCAAGGATAAGGATACAGAAAGTAGCAGTTCGATAGTAGGCCCCAGGAAAGGAGAAACACAAGGGGAAGGTCAGGGCAGATCAGATTGGAAGGAGAGCAGATCTTACACCAGGGTGCCTAAGATGGAGCTGCCTAACTTTACAGGAGATAATCCAAGGGAGTGGATCCGCAAAGCTAACAAGTATTTTAAGATCAATGGAGTGGAAGAAAACATGAAGTCTGAGATTGCTGAGCTGTACCTAAGAGACAGGGCTGATACCTGGTTCCATGGAGTATTCAGTGGCAGGGGAGTCATTCCATGGGCTGAATTTGCCACTGCATTATGTGCGAGATTTGGTGAAGGCACGCCAGAGGAGGCCATTGAAGAATTCAACAAACTCAATCAGGAGGGATCTGTTGCTGACTACCTGGAAAAGTTTGAGCTGCTCAAAGCACTGGTAATGCCTTCACTCCCTCATTTGGCTGACTCTTACTATAAAACATGTTTTCTAAGTGGCTTGAAGGAAGAAATAGTTAACATGGTAAAAATGGCCAAGCCCCTAACTCTGGCTGATGCAATAGAAGCAGCTAAGTTACAAGAAAAAAATTTAAAAGCCATGCAGAAAATACATAAAGGCCTACCCAGCACTATTCATACACACAAAGCCCCATTCCACACCCCAAGCCATAACCAGGGGAGCTCTGCTGCTCCCAGAACGTCAGACAAACACCCCATCAAAAACCATAAATATCCAAACAGCAACCAGAACCAATTCAGGAGGATCACCCCTAGTGAGTACAACCTCAGAAGAGAGAAGGGACTATGCTATAAGTGTGCTGAACCCTACACACTTGGCCATGTGTGTAAGCAATCCCACATTCACTTTTTGCTAGTCACTGATGAAAAGGGGGACTCTGCATCCACTGAGGAGGAAAAGGAGACTGACCCTGAAGTATTCTGTGACTGCATTGAGGGTCGACTGGAGGATGAACACATAGAGGTTTCTGTGCATGCATTGGCTGGGGGTGGGGAGCATAGAACAATTAAACTGAGGGGGACCATAAAAGGGAGAACTGTCACTGCATTGATTGACAGTGGAAGTACTCACTGTTTTTTGGATGAACAACTGGCCAAAAGCCTAGGCCTAATCAGCAGTGGACCCTCCCTAATGGTCAGGGTAGCTAATGGAGAGAAGATTCAGTCCAGGGGCCTAGTTAAGCCAGTGGTCTGGAAAATGCAGGGATATGAGTTTCAACACCAGTTCAATACCTTGAAGTTGGGGGGTTGTGATATGGTATTAGGGGTAGACTGGCTGGCCAGGTTCAGTCCCATGGAATTTGACTTCCAAGGGCTGAGGGTGAGGTTCAAAAAAGGGAAACAACAAGTGGAGTTGAAGGGGGAGGGTCACCAGGTGCAATTAAAGCTGATAAAAGGTAGTAGACTGCACAAGTGGGCTAGGAAACAAACCTATGGGATCCTGGCTCAGTTAAAAGCAGTAACTGAGGAGGTACCAGAAACTGAAGCCATACCCCCAGAAATGGGGAGGGTACTGCAGGAGTTTGAGGATGTGTTCAGGGAACCTCAGGGACTACCCCCTGAAAGGAGTCATGACCATTCTATCACCTTGAAAGAGGGATCCAAGCCCTTCCAGATAAGACCTTACAGATGCCCCTACGTCCAGAAGTCTGAAATTGAGAAACTAGTGCAGGAGATGCTGGGAAATGGCATCATCCAGCTTAGTAACAGCCCCTTTGCATCCCCTGTACTACTAGTTAAAAAGAAGGATGGCACCTGGAGGTTTTGTGTAGACTATAGACAATTGAATGAGCTTACAGTGAAGAGCAAATACCCAATACCCCTTATTGATGAGCTCCTGGATGAGTTGAATGGATCCAGGTACTTCACCAAGATTGACCTGAGAGCAGGGTACTTCCAAATCAGGGTCAAGACTGAAGACATACCCAAGACTGCATTCAGAACCCATCAGGGACTCTATGAGTTCAAGGTGATGCCATTTGGGCTAACCAATGCCCCTGCTACTTTCCAAGGCTTAATGAATCATGTGTTCCAAAAACAGCTGAGGAAATCAGTACTGGTATTTTTTGATGACATCTTAATATATAGCTCAAGTTTACAGGAGCATCTGAAGCATGTGGCAGAGGTTCTGGATATCCTCAGGAGGCACCAGCTGTACGCCAAAAGGAGCAAATGTGCTTTTGCTCAGGCACAGGTGGAGTACTTGGGGCACATCATCACAGAGGAGGGGGTGAAGGCTGACCCTGGGAAGATAGAGGGAATGGTGAAATGGCCTAGACCAGAGAATGTTAAACAACTGAGGGGATTCCTAGGCCTAACTGGATATTATAGGAGGTTTGTCAAGGGGTATGGCAGCATAGCCAAGCCTTTGACTGCACTGCTCAAGAAGGACAGCTTCCAGTGGGGAGGAGAAGCTGAGGAAGCTTTTCAGAAGCTCAAAGGGGCCATGAGTGACACTCCTGTTCTGGCCTTACCTGATTTCAACCAACCTTTTGTGGTAGAGACTGATGCCTGCTACAAGGGCATAGGGGCAGTCCTCATGCAGAACAAGAGACCAATAGCTTACATCAGTCAGGGGTTGGGACCAAAGAATATGGGGTTATCCATCTACGAGAAGGAGCTACTGGCTCTTGTCACAGCAGTCACCAAGTGGAGACACTATTTGGAGGGTCAACACTTCATCATCAACACAGATCATCAGAGTTTGAAGTACCTATTAGAGCAAAGAATTACCACCCCCCTGCAGCAAAAATGGCTAACTAAACTCATGGGGCTGAGCTATGAGATCCACTACAGGAAGGGTAAAGAGAATGTAGTGGCAGATGCTTTGTCTAGGAGAGGTGATCAAGGAATGGACTGTACTGCAATATCAACTGTAGTGCCAGAATGGATCAAAGAAGTGATTAGCAGCTACCAAGGGGATGATTGGGCACAAGATAGCATCAGGGAGGTGTTGCTGAAACCAGATCAAGTCCCTAACCTCAGCTACCATAATGATGTTCTGAAGTTCAAAGGAAGAATAGCTGTGGGATCTGGGGGAGAGATAAGAAAGAAACTGATCAGCACTCTACATGGCTCACAGTTAGGGGGACATTCTGGCATACAAGCTAGCTTTCTGAGGGCTAAACAGCTGTTCTACTGGCCAGGTATGCACAGGGACATTAAGACAGCTATTTTGGAATGTGATGTCTGCAAGAAATGTAAGGATGAGCATGTGTCATATCCAGGGTTACTGCAGCCACTGCCAGTCCCACAGTCTCCCTGGAGCCATGTCACCATGGATTTCATTGAAGGGTTACCTAACTCAGAGGGAAAAGACACCATCATGGTAGTAGTAGATAGGTACACCAAGTATGCTCACTTCCTGAGTATATCGCACCCCTTTGATGCCCCAAAAATTGCTAGAATATTCTTGGATGGGATAGTCAGGTTACATGGAATACCCCAAAGCATGCTATCAGACAGGGATAGAATCTTCACCAGTCTGTTTTGGAGTGAGATATTTACACTACTGGGAGCTACACTGGACCTCAGCACAGCTTATCACCCACAATCTGATGGCCAGACAGAAAGAGTGAATCAGGTACTGGAAATGTACCTCAGATGTTTCTCCCATCTAGAACCAAAGAAGTGGAACCACTGGTTGGCCATGGCAGAATGGTGGTATAATACCAGTCACCACACAGCTATTCAAATGACACCCTTTGAAGCTCTGTATGGGCAGGCGCCTCCACAGATGGCCCTGGGACCCTACACTCAGGCCAAGGTGGCTGTAGTTGGAGACTATCTAAGGGAAAGGCATAAGGTCGACATTGCACTAAAACAGAATCTAGCACAGGCTCAGGAAAGGATGAAAAGGTATGCAGATGAAAGGAGGAGTGAAAGGAGATTTGAAATTGGAGACTGGGTATACTTAAGACTACAACCTTACAGGCAAAATTCTGTAGCTATGAGGAGCAACACCAAGCTATCAGCACGTTACTATGGGCCCTTTGAAGTAATAAAAAAGATTGGAGAGGTTGCTTACATGCTGAAGCTGCCAACAGGGTCCAAAATACATCCTGTTTTTCATGTCTCACTACTGAAGAAAAAAGTTGGAGAACAGACTACACCTATTTTACAGCTACCGGAAGTCGATGGAAAAGGGCACTTGAGGGTAGAGCCCGTAGCAGTGCTGGATAGGAGAATAGTCAAGAAAGGGAATGCTGCTGCAGTACAATGGCTGATTCACTGGTGGGGAACAGATCCAGCAGAGGCAACATGGGAATTCGCAGAGGATATTGAGAAGCAGTTTCCCCAGTTTCAATCTTGAGGACAAGATATTTGTGAAGGAGGGGGTACTGTCATGGAGTGCAGAAGTCTTTCCAGTTCAGCTTAAAGAAAGGTGAAGGCGTGGTCTACGGCAAAAGGATGGCGCGATTGATCAAACCGAAGAAAGGGAAGGCGTGATTCAGGAAACACGTTTTTCTTGGCTCCAAACAGAATTATGCTTCTGTTATGAACAAGTGGGACGGATCATTCTAGAATCCACCTGGCCTCAGCTCATTGGTTAGTTTAGAAGTTAGTTAGCCGGGAAAACCATAAAAGCAGAAGAAATCTTAGTGATAGGTAGCATTTTGTCATTTGTCCAATTACTTGTAAAGAAAGATTGGCTCTGCCAATCTCCCTCCCTCCCTCTCACGTTTTATTCCTTCACTCTTTTTCCCCTTCTATCTCTGAATCCATTGTTTCCAGTCTGTATTCATTCATATTAAGAAATTGAATTACCAAATCATTTTCAATACCAATTCTACTCCATTTCTATTGAGCAATAGTTTACTGCTTTCTGCAACAAATCTGTCACCATTGCCTCCAACTGGTTCTGTACCATTACACTAGCCTGTACAAAAAATTTGAAAGCATTCATAAGCCTATCTATTTTCTTTAAGACAAAATCAGCAAGTATTGCTTTAATATTTTATACAAAAAATAATCTTGTAGCAAAAATACGTTCTCTAACACAATCAAGAATAATCTTGCATGTTAAAAATGTAGGTCAATAGTTATCTGTTGCGTCTTTATGCTCATAAACGAACCAGAAAATTTATCTTGAGGTGGAGAACTCTAATATACGTAAACTTAAATTTATAATGCAAAAAAGTTTTTAAGTTTTTGCAGGGGCAAAATTTTAAATTAATAAAGAGTTTTCGAAAACTTTTAATATTGTAAATGAGAAAAACTGAATTTTCGAAACCTTTGGGGAGGGGTGGGGGGTCCCTCCCCACCACCCCCTAGTTCCTTCCCTAATTATGCTATTCATGCTCTATAATCCATCCGATATGGCATTTGGCGTCATAGAAATAATAAACTATCATCTCTATGCTTCCCATTCACCTCTTCTTCACCATAATATAGCACTCCTCCGAAAATATAGATGCCTATACCTTTGCCGGACAACAATGGCAAGAATTTCCCTCTAAAAGTGTCGAAACAAAACCCCAGCCAAGTTTCAGGTTATCCTTCTGGACAAGCTAATCATTATGTGCTAGCCCCAATCTATTTTGAACTATTAGGTGTCAAGGATAGATTACCTATTAACCTTTACTATCACTTTGAAAACCATTTATATACAAAATATCACGCTAAGTTGTCCGTACGTCCAGCATTTGGGTGAAGCAGTAGATTGAAACATCTTACTAAAGACAATAGCAAATGAAAAAGCTTTTTGAAGAAATCATTTCTTCTTATTCATTAACTGCACAAGTATTTTGCTTATTCTTTGAAAATTCTCTGTTTGGTGCTACTTTCCCTAAGTCATGAAATCCAAATTATTTATGTGATTCAAGGGCCTCACCTCATTACAGGTCAACTCGGACTTTTAATCCATCATGTGCAAGCTGGACGTGTATACCTTCCCTGAGAGAGAGAGAGATCATAAATAGTCGCAAAGTCTTCTTCGATTCCTCAAAAGTTGGGAGCTCTATGAGAAACACCAAGAGATTATACCTTTTAGACCATTCACTAAGAAATTCATTGTCTTTGTAGTGATCAAACTCATGGGTCATTCCAATTAACAAAGCTCTCTTGGGACATAGTCTTTTCACCACATCGAGAGTCTGTTAACAACGTTATTTGCAATTGAAGAAGAGAATGACAATAAAGACACTTCTAGAAGTATAACAATAAAAACTTCGTTAAACAATAAACAAACCTGAGGTAAGCAAAAGTGAACATTATGGGAGCCCTTCTGCAAAAGTAGAAAGAGAGCCTCCTTAGAGAGTGGAAGACCAAAAGAACAATCTTCAACATAAAACACACACAACGCACAGATACAAGTATGTCCCATCCAGGTGAACTAATATCTTAATTCATGCAATGAGAAAATGGAAGTACAGTGTATGCAAAATACAATAGCAAACAGTGAAAGCATAAATTTGATGCAGCAAACACTAACGTGGCGCAAGCTGAAAAGATATACATTATTCACCAAAACAAGAAAGAAAGGGAACTTTTGTCTATATGTCTCAGTATCAAAGAGTCCACATGTCCATCCAGTAGCTCCTCTACCCTCCTACAGTGCAGAAAAGATCTCCTTCCATGCCTTCATAATGAAATCTAAGGAACTGAAGCAGGATCACATGATCAGAACAACCCCCAAGTTATTTTCTTATTATTCATGTAAAGTTGTCTCGTTCCTTTCAAAATAAATTTCTTATTTATCTCCAGTGGATCATATCTGAGGGACAGTCCCACCTTATTACCATTCACTCCAAGCATAATAGACTTTAAATGCCAGAGCAGCAGAGAGAGACCACAATTTCTCTGTAGTCTATATGCAATGTCTGCCTTGGCCTTTTCATTCTGGAGTTCAACTGTTAGAACCCATTAGAGAAAACATAACACAATTTGCAAGTCATTGGACCAAGCATCTGAGTAATAAGTATGCGAAAACAACAGTGTGCTTGGGAAATATACAAGGATCTATGAAGGAATGTCCCAACCCTAGATGAAGAGGAGCAAGTTTCCTGTCATTTTTTACCAGCTCAGTGACACAATATCTAGCAAGAAATTTGGGAACATGAACTGAAGATAGATCAAAAATTGGGATGTGATGTAAAAATTTGGGTTGCAAAAATGTGCAGAGGCATGTGATGTAAGACAATACAGGTGAGAACTTGCCTGCTAGAGCTAGCAGAAGAAGACAGGACAGGATCCTGGAACTAATACAGGACTATGAACAGTACTCGCGAACAGTAACATGGTGGGAAAGAGGGGAAGAAGAAGGGGATTTAAGGGTGAAGAAGAACAAAATTTATTCAATTTTTATTCATTAATCTCACTGCCTAAAATAACATATAAACATAAATATTATAAACAGTTAAGTTTCATAAAACTCCTATTCCTAAAAAGAAGTTGGCCGAGATCTCATGTAACAACTAAAAGACCAAAATACCCTTAAGGCCCTAAATTCTAGAAACTACTAAAATGCAGAAAATTGAGTAGTCAATACACTAGAACCAGGAATCACCCTGGGCAGATCACTCAAGACCACAACTTCTTGCTTGCAAAGGATCCCTTAGCTTTATTCTTAAGCTTCCGAAGATGACAATACTTATCCACCCAGCTTATGGCTGCATCACACCATGTAAAAGAAAGAATAGGTGCAACTACAAGAACTCTCCAACATAATGGTAATCTGGCAAATTTACATGCAGCAGAATAAGGCTGACTATTACAGACCATCACCACAACAACCTGCACCAGTTACAATTGAAGCACATGGGAGGTAGCCATTACCGTAATCGCCACCCCCAAGCACCTCCACCGCCATAAACACCACACACAACTTCTAAACAAACCATACTTAATTAAACAATGCAGCATACAGATAAGGCCCCTCTCTTGTACTTCCTTTCTATCTCAAGTTCTCCCCAACTCATCCAGTTTAGGTTTCCTCATGTTGATAAAAGTAATCTTGACAGACAAAGAGATGAGAACATGGCTAAAAAGCTTTGTGTTGACAACTTTTAGCTAGGAAACCTTGAACATGAAAAAACTATGACCAAAAGATTTAAAAGAAGTAGGGTCCAATAAGCTTTAGTTAAATCACAATACTCCCACAAATTACAAAAAAAAAAAATTCAACTTTCTAAGCTCTCTATGAAATTATTCTGCATGGCAATACTGAGAATTGGGCTTGTAAAATTTTGGTGGAAAAGAAGATTTATGAACTTAGACTCCACAATAGTCTTCAAAAAATGTAATCAAATAAAAAAGGAAAAAGAATCTAAGAACTGCAAATAAAAGCTAGAATACAGACAGTGGTGACATTATCCAGCTAAAGTGGAGGATTATAAACATAAATTAGGTATAGACATGTTCCCCAACTAATAGGTCTTTGAATAGATGTAAAAACTAAAAAGCAGAAAATTTCTATAAAAGATGATTTACAAAACCCAAAGTAAGACTTTGCATGAGACTGACCTTATAAAGTGCATCCACAATGAGGAGGTCCAGCTGTCCACCACTATCCTTGGAGATGTCTAAAAAAAATAAAGCAAATTTCTCTGTCTTAGTGAAACCGCTGCTGCAGATAAAGGCAAGATGAGATAAAATGACAAGACTGATCAATCTTATTCTTAGTTCATTCCTTTAAATAGGTGATCAATGTGCTTGATATAACCGGGAGGGACTTTTACACAGTCCTCTCTTATGATAATTGGCACAATTCATCCTTCTGTAACCCATTGCAACTGTTTTGGGTCTGCCTCTTCCACTATAGAATGTTAGACCACTGCAAAGGTCTTCTTCATCCTGCTATTCTTTATTCCAAGTTACTAATAACACCTCTTGTTCCAATAAAACTAACATTTCTTAATCAGAAGGAGATAGTTTTCTTGGAAAAAGAGATGCCAGGGGTCTGGAAAAAACCTCAGAGCAGTATCACATCAGGCTGCCTGTCTAAGGATACCATTTACCCTGTAAGACAAAATACAGACTATGCTCCTAACTAAATTCAGAAGTTTCTGTTGCATTCATAGAAGGTCCAAGGTCGACCAGACTAAGTTGTTGGGAGAGGAGTTGAAAACGAAAATTTAAGGACTTCAGTTCAAACTTGGTTCCCAACAACAATCTTAATGGCATGAGAGCAGTTGACACGATGCTTTCTGTGCTCATCTAAAAGCATACACCACCGTTTCAGATCATTCTTCAGTAAATGTGAATTATGAAACTTCGAGAGCAGAGATGGTAAAGCATAAAAATAAGTCCATGCAGTATGGCCAATACTCACAATGCTCTGTGGTTGGCAAAATGCGTGAAACATCAGATAGATAAGCTACTCTATTTTTTCCACCAAAAAGGAAACCTAAACATACATAGTCTTCGCCATGCATCACCTAATTGGAAACCAGAAAGAAAAACATGAGAGGGTATGCATGTAGTAGCATATGAATATAAAGTAGAAAAATGAGAGAAAACTAACTGGCAAAGGTATAATTTTTATGTATGTAGTAGCATATGAATATAAAGTAGAAAAATGAGAGAAAACTAACCGGCAAAGGTATAATTTTTAGTCCTGATGCAACAAATGGCTTCTCACAGTCCTCCTCAATAATCTTCCAGTCAAACTGTGCTACACGTCTAATCTCCTGGCCAGGCTTAAGTTTCTTATTAACCAAATATGGGAATTTTTGGGCAATGCTGTTCCAAGGAATAAGATCCAAGCATCAGCAATTATGCAGTCAATGAAAGTAGTATCAAATTTGGGTCACAAATGTAAGACAAGTGATGTGTCAGAGCTTAAATTAGAGTTATCTGTTCCACCAGATGTCGTTTTTCAGTAAAAAATTACTAATTCATGAGAACCAAGTCAATAGTGACTATTCTTAAATCTATGCCAACTTCTTACCCATTTGCTGCATCATCACTGTTTAAAATACACTTGACATTCTAGTTTATACATAAATCCCGTCACTTCATTTCACAACAATGTAAAATGTTGCAACACTTTTAATCTATTGTATAAGAACTTCCAATATTTGATTAATGTCTCACTAGTCCAACTGCAAAATTAAAACTTAGATGACTGAAGATTAAGATGTTGCAGACAAACTCTCAGTAATAAACTACTAATTAAAAAGCAATGCATGAGATTAAGATTTAATTTTTACAGTCAAAAGGCCAGAAATTTTACTTGCATAATATTCAGCAAAAATGAACACTCATCTGTTTAGTGCAAGTGTTCATGCTTGCTGAATTTTATGAAGAAAATATGCAAACAAAATAGGGGATGAGTGTCATACACTTGTAGTTTCTAGTTCTCTTCATATTACTTTCATGTCAAGATTTGGTTTATTTCATTGCAATAGTTTTTTGCATTCTATCAATGGTTGAACTAAAACAGGATTGGTTTTATGGTTTAGGGATGTGTCCCAATTTAAAATTTAGAGACCAAAGTCAAAAAGAGTATGTAGTTCAAAGGTGCAAAATGGAATTTATGCTGAAGGAGTTGACTTAAAATCTAAAATATGATGGTAGAGGGTGTAACTCAAAGTTCAAAGGCCAAAATGATCATCAAGTTTGCTTCCCGACCAAATAGGAAAACTTTATTCTATATCTTCCAGGCCTCAATAAAACAAAGCAGAAGTTTATGATCCACTATATTTGCAAAGGGCTGGTGCAGGACACAAAATTAAGGATGCCAATATATGTGAAGAAATTTGAGGTTGACAAGCTTGGAAATAAGTTAGGGCTCAGGTTGTGGTTTCTTTGCTGCTTTGTGTAGGTTGTGTTTAAGTGTGTAATTTTGTATGCTTGTTTGTAGCAGTCTTGGTGGTAAAAGCTGGCTGCCTAATGATATCATAGTATAAGCCCTATGTGGCAGAAGTTTAGGTTGAGGCACGAGTGGTAGTTCAAAGGATAGGTCTCCATGGAAGTGCAAGAGACACCGATTGGATCATCTAAACTTCTGCCTCTTCCTCTTGCAGAACAACCTAAACTCATTAAAACTATCATGACAAAGAATCCCTTCCCAACTTCTAACATGATAATCAAGAATCATCTGTTTAGAAAGCTAATTCAAAGTAACTTAAGTCGAGAATCATTTTATCACCTTAAAAAGCCAGTAAAACACTTTACTGATTTACTCAGTAGTAAAGTGAATCACTCCTATGTTTCTTGACTATTGTATCCTCCTAAATACGATTTTATTTGTTTTCAAATGAAACTCCTTTCCAACAATTCTTCTTCATACAGACTGTGATGACATAATGCAACATTCTACGTAGGATACCGACAATTGATGGAAAGGAGAGGTTAACCAAAACCTAAAACCCAATCATATTAATCGAGGTAGTTGTAAAAGAACCTTTCACTTCTATTGCATTTCTTTACCATTATATTTGTTGTTATTTTAATTTTTTTCTTTCTCAATAGTAGCATGTAAGTGAAGAGAAACAAGGTTGAGTCCGTTAAAAGATCTAAATATCAACACAAAAGTGATTATACAGAACCTGTGCATTGAATGTTGAGATAGGTAGATGGGAGTAGGATCAATGTCATTTTTCGCGCTGTATGGCTGCACAGCACGAACATCATCCAATCCAAGAACCGCATCAGCATGTTCATGAGACAAAATAATCTGGAGATGATAACAGCATCAGATTACAACCATAATAAGGATCTGATGTATGTTCTCACTGACAACAACCTCAAATTTTATTGTTTGTTTTCATCCACAGATGCCCTTATGTTGAATTCAAGCTACTAATACTAACTATTTAATTCTAACCAACACTAGAGATATCTGAAAAAAAAAATAATGGAAAGAAATCCTCAAGCAACCCTTTGCTAAGATCTATGCCTATTAGATTTTAGTTAAAGGAAAATAAATGAAAAGAATATAAGCTTATTGTAACCCAGAAAATTTAGCAACCCATCTAGCAATGTTAATTCCAATAAAATAAAATGTTTAAGTAAAACAAAGAATAATGATGCCACTGTTATTCTACTGTTATTACCATTTGTACATGCATCAAGAATAGCACTATCGTGGGGTCAATAAAAAACAGAGAAAGCTACAGAAGACTCAGATTTTCCTCTGAAATTTTGGCTCTTTATGTGTTCAAGAAGATACAAGACAAACTGGGGAAAATGACAAAAATTATATCTCTTTTAAACAGAATTGATAGATTATGTGACAAGAATCTGAATGATTTTGAGAGACCAATGGGGAATCTCATTTCCCATGAACACACACAAGATCATCAATGGTTCTTTTCCCTTACAAAACTCACACAGAGTATATTTCAAACTAAGTCCGTTCTTTGACCTATTCAAACCTTTCTACTTAACCAGAAAATATATTTTTTTTTTTACTAACATGATAATTGTAAAGCTAACCAAAGGTTTGAAACAAGAAAAAGACTATAGTATCGTATAAATGCAGAAAGAGAACTCACAGAATCCATCCGTGGGACTTTGTGTAAAGTAAACCACCGTAATACTTGTTCCCTAAATGTCTTCCCAACATCAATCAATATATATTTGTGCTCACCATCCTTTTGACAGTAATCAATAAGAAGAGACGTATTGCACCTAAAAATACACAAGCCATACCTTTAGCATCAGCCATAACTAAAATTCCCACAGCTAAATAGAAATAACAGCCATACAACAAAGAGGAAATCATGCAGATAGCCATATACGCATATCCGTTTAGACATAGCAATGCTGCTGTTTCAAAAGAAAAACCACCAGTTAATCAATTATTATTTACTTGCTTTTCCTTTCTAAAAGACTAAAATAATATCTTTGCGCCTCATGTTCTTTTCCAAATACCAAGCAGTAAATATCTGAGTTTTTCAAATCCACTTCCATATCATATAATTGACCTTCCAAACCGACATTTTTTGCTTTCTCCGATTGACAATTAGAAGCTTAGCTTCGTTTATCCACCAAACACTTAAACTGATCCGCCAAAAATAAAAAATCAACAGAAAAGGGACAAATATTCCATCCAAACCAAATCAAACTCCCAACGAACAACATTTTCCAACTCTCAAAGACTGCACAATTAATTAGCTAAATAAAAAATTGCTCATAACAGTTAACCATCAACTGCCCAATAACACTAACAACAGCAAACATTTCCCCAGAAAGTAATCCCTCAAATCAGTAAAAAAAATTAACCAACAACAAACCTGTAATTCGGGTTTATTTCAGGTCGTATAGACAATGCTTGAGAACAAACAGGGCAAGGGGGATCAGAGGGTTGAATCAAGCAAAAAGCGTTTGGCACTGCACTCGAACAACCGGTGCCGAGGAATATCAACGCCGACTCCGGTGGCTCCTCCGCATTGCCATTCTCCGCCACCGCAATAAAAGTTGCCATTTATGTTTTGTTAAGAAGAGAGAAGCGGAAGAAATGAGGTAAGAGGAGAGTAGCGTGCGGAGGACGGAGCAGAGAGAGTTTACAAGGAATAATTCAGTGGAATTGGAATGTATATAAAGGTGCAGCTCTTTTCAAAAAAAAAAAAAAAATTAAGGTGTAGCTAGACAATGACAGCGGCTGAGTGGGAAAAATTTTGTGTGCCAAATGTATAAATGTGACTTATTATTGGGAAATTGTTGTATGAGAAACACGTTTTCAAAATATTTTTAAAATTTTTTAATATTGTGGTTAGATGTCTGTAGAGGTATTTTTTAGAAAAAGGCCTTATTTGGCAAGAAGGCCTTGTTTGGTAAGCAAGTTTTTGGTTAAATTTGTTTGCTACAAGTTTTTTAACAATTTTAGTTATAGAAACCTCAAAAAACTTTTCAAAATTTTTAAATTATACACTTCAAAATATTCAAAAATTTACACATTTCAAAAATTCTTTCTACAACTTTTGTAATAAGTTACAGTAAAGTTTTAGACAAACATCCAAAAAACTCACTTGCCAAACGAGGCCCAAGTTTTTGGTCAAGTTTGTCTGTTACAAGTTTTTTGACAACTTTAACTACAGTAATCTTAAAAAACTTTTCAAAGTTTTTAAACTATATATTTCAAAATATCCAAAAATTTACACATTTCAAAAATTTTTTCTACAACTTTTACAGTAAGTTACAATAAAGTTTTAGACAAACACCAAAATACTAACTTGCCAAATGGGGTTTTTAATGTAGTGGTGTATGTAAAAAAATTTCATTGCAAATGGTTCATTTATACTCAGTGTTTTTTAGGTTGTATTTTGAATGTTTTTAGAATTTAAAATTTTTTAAATATTTTTATAAATTTGTTCCAAATTTTCTGTTATCCACCACGACTGTCACCTAGAACCGCAGCCACCCTCCTCTCTCCTCCTCTCTTTTTTCCCCTTTCTCTCTTCCTCCCTCTTCTCGGCCCTTTTTCCCCTAATCCTCTCATCTTCTCTCCTCTCCTCTTCCCCTCCCCCTCCTCCTCTCCCTTCCCTCGCCACCTCCTCTCTCGCTTCCCCAACAAGGGTGTGGCAGCTGCTAGTAGTGGTGGTTGATGGTTAATGGTGGTGGATGGTGGTGGTGTGTATAAAAAGAAAGAATTTTAAAAATTATTTTAATTTTTTAAGTGTATTTTTTAAGTTCTTTTTAAGGTATGTTACTGTAAATTTCACAAATAAAAATAGTTTATGGGAAAAATAGCATATTTAAATAGAACAATGATATTTTGATTGTGATATTAGTGGTTTTATCCTTCAAAATTTAAAATTTAATGTAAATTTAACATAAAACATAAGTAAAGGTAGGGATAGCATTGAAAAAAAAAATAAATCAAGAATTACTTTAACTTTGATAATAGAACAAACATTTTGGGGTGAAGGTGGGAGCAGATAAAAGCCACTGAGGGCCGAATGAACACTGATTCATCGTCTGCTGTGATTTGACATGCTTGGGAGGGTGTTTATGTCATTTTACAATGATTTTGGGTTGATATTGGTATTTTGGTCAGGCCAGCTTTCTCTCGATCGACTCACGGGGCTTCTACATCCATCATATCGCAGCCGTTTAATGTAATTGTTGGCAGGGGCCGTCTAACGAATCTCCATCATCTTTTCCTTTGCTTTTTGTTGCCATGGAGGAAAATTGCCACGTCATTTTTGGCATGCATCTCCTTTTCTTACATATATATAAAAACCTAAGCCTTCTTCTCCCACGTTGATCCACGTGGCTGCTTTTGGAGAGGAAGCCAATTGTAGTAGATCTCTTTCGTCAAAAATGCCCTCCAAATTTTAACTTCTAGGCTGAACAGTGAACTATTGTTAAGGGTCATACGTCTTTTACCATCTAATTACAACTTTGTCCTACCAGACATAACATCACCTCAAAACAGTAGATCACTGTTAAGGGTTATTTCCGGCATGTTGGGTCGAATTATCCTCCTATCCTTTTCATTGTTTCCCGTTTCTTCCACTGCTCCTCTTCTCTTCGGTGGAAAAAGAGCAGCAAACAAGTAGCTGAACAGCTTTTAGAGACAGTGGCCAAAAATGGGTTGTCTACCTGCTGGGTGTTCTTCCAAAACAAACAAAGAAAAGCATGAATTCAACTCTTCCGCCCACTTGGTCAACAATCTCATGCTTTCTCTCTCTTTCCCCTTACTTTCTCCTTCGTTTTGCTTTTCTGGTTTATAGACAAAGAAAAGTGCCAATTGAATTCCTCCAACATTTGGTCAACAATTTGAAGATTGTCTTCACCAAATTACGGCTGCTCATCGGATTTTGTGGTTTGTCCTCTTTTATTCCTTTTTATTCCCCAACCATTGTTTTCCTCTTGCTTCCTCTCTTTTTCTCTGTTTTCCGTTCTTTTGTTTCCCCCTCATTTTCTTTCTGGTTCAGACCAAGAACATTTTCTTTCTGGTTCAGACCAAGAAAAGTATCGCTTGAAAGAAAAGTACCTCGCTGTCATAGTGCAGATGAAACAAAATCGAATACCAAGAAATGTCCTATCGTACAACCTTTGGATGAATGCATGTGCAGAGCTGTCGGGTGTTGGATCAGCTGAGGAGGTTTACAAAGAAATGATACATGACAAAAATGTTGTGATGGGATGGAGCTCTTTATCTACTTTGGCAAATATTTACCAAAAATCAGGAGCAGTTAACCAGGCTTTTTGGGCACTGAGAGAGGCAGAAAATAAACTATCTAGCTGTAATCGCCTTGGTTATCTATTTTTGTCAACAATCTATACCTCTTTGAACAGGAAGGATGAAGTTGTGCGGCTCTGGAAAGCTAGCAAAGGGGTAAAGGGCAGAATCACATGTGCGAACTACATGTGCATCTTCTCATGTTTGATGAAACTTGGTGATATTAAAGAAGCTGAAAATATATTTCTTGAGTGGGAGTCACAGTGTAGGACAATTGATATTAGGGTGCCAAACATTGTTCTAGGCGCATACATGAGGAATGGCATGATGAAGAAAGCTGAATCATTATTTATCTATTCATTGAACAGAGGTGGATGTCGAAATTATAAAACTTGGGAGATATTCACAGAGGGATGGGTAAGGAGCAATGAAATGGATAAAGCTATAGATACAACGAGAAGATCCCTTTCTACGTTGGAATATCTGCCTCTCGTTCTATTATTTTCTTCTGTTTGCATCCTCATATAGCTCACTATACCTGAAGATATTCAGATTTGGTTCTTTCCTGTTAAAAACACATTTCAATATTTTTTACACAATACCTTGGGCATTTCCTGACAATTTCACTAAACTCCCTAAAAATTTAAAAAATTATACATACATCCCTTGTCATTTAAAATGACAATTTTACCCTTAAATATTTTAATGAAATTCCCTTATTTGGTATGCTTATACTTAGAATAAATTTTAAAATTATTTTTTCATTCTTTTTCCTTTTTATTTCTTTTTTAATTTTTCGCCAATAAAATTGTAAAACTACCCCTATTGCTTCTAGTTTCTATTGTAACAGAATGTCGAACTAGTGATTTTTTTGACGAGTTAATTTTATATGTAATACAATGTTTTTGCTGATCTTGTTTTCTATTTTTTGGCATCAAAATTAACAATAAATTTGAAAGAAATTGCCCAAAATTACTACCAAATTATGATAATCCCACTACCCCAAAAATTCATAAACTCTAAATGAATTATTTGAACATTTTCTTTTCTATTTTATAAATCTAAATTCATGATAAAGTATCATCAAAAGTATCCTATCATAGTAATAAAATTATTATTATAGTTATTTATCAAATAGTAGATATGGATATGAAAAATTTGGCACCTTTTCCTTATAATTATACTACATAATCTTATAATTGTATAGGAAAATAAATTAAAACTCATTACACAAAAGAATTTTTGGGTATTCATTTAAAAAATTGACCAAGTCAATATTATTTTAAGATTTTGTTACTAAAACTATCAAATCAAGGGAGGTAAGTGTAATTTTTTAAATTTGAGGGGAGTTCAGTGAAATTATCAGAAACCTCAGGGGAGGTTTCTAAAATTATCTCTAACTTTTAAGACGAAACCTTTGAACTTTTTCATCGGTCTGGACTAAAGTTGCTCTGCTCACTTTGTTTGGCGCTTCTCCTCCGCTATGCAAATTTAATAGGAATAATTCCAGAAACATTCCTTATAGTTTTTGATAATTTCGCTTAATACCTTTAAAGTTTTAAAATTACATATATCTCTCTTAAATTTATTATTTTGGTAATAAAAATTATTTAATGGACAAAATTTTGAATAAATAACCCAAAATACGATCACGAAATTATAAAGTTCACTTACTTTCTCATAGAATTCTGAAAATAATTGAAACATGCAAAAAATCACAAACTCACTTTCACCCTTATCTCTACTACTATAAACCTACCTTAATCTCACCTCCCAAATTAGTATTACTATTTCCATGACCACCGCCACCATCAGTCCCCAAATTCTAAAACCTCAATCTAAAAAAAGGAAAACCCCCATTAAATTAAAAAAAATTATCAATTGCATTAATATAACATTCTATCCCTCAAATGTTGGAGTACGAACACCAGTTCCATTCTTCTTAAACCTTCACTTCACTTCTTCTTCCATTCATCTCTAGATTCTCCAAACAAAGCTAAAGTTAATTTGTAATATATTGAAATTGTGTTTAGGACATAATTGTTTATCCACAAGTGCATCTTGTTTTCGTTTTTATTAATGTCTAATTGTGTGAAATGCATCCATGTGTACAATATTAGGAGCACATTATTTAATTGCATGAAAAAGATTAATAAATTAAGGTTATTATGGTCAGTTTACAGAGTTAAGGAAGATAATTATAATATTGAAAACCTAAGGGCATTGGGTGAAATTTTTAGAAACCTCAAGGAAGGTTTTTGAAATTATCCCAATTTAATATTGCTCATTTTGAGTATGCTCTCCTTTTTTGGCGTTTAGTTTATAGTTTTTGACATAACTTGGCTAGCATTCTTCATTTGTATGAATTATGTTTGGTCTTGGCTTA